CCGGGAATAGTAGAAGCTAGAGTTGAGAATATTAACGAAGTATGGAGTGTGTTGCAGGCTGGAAGCAGTGCACGGGCTGTGGGATCCAACAATGTGAATGAGAATAGTAGCCGTTCTCACTGGTAAAAAGAAATATTTGATCTGTTCTCCTTCCAACTTGCATCCTTGTCTACATTTTCAAGTGTATCGTATACATATTACTGAATACATATTTTTCTGGAATGTTTGTAGGATTAAGTCATCCCTTAACAGACTTACTTCTCAAGTAAAATCCTACTCAATTGATTTTCTTGTTATTGAGCCAATTGTGGCTCCAAATAAGCTGGACTCCTACATGTTTAAGCTAGGCTTCACGGACTCCTGGGATGTTTTTTACAACAAGGTCTGGATATTTTACAATAACGCAAGACTCTTTCTTTGAAAAATCAATGAGCTTGATCAATTGGTCAATTGTACTTTTTGGGACATTTCTAGTAGAGTATATGGAAAGCACATAGGAAGAGAAAGAAGAACACTTGAAAAATATTATTGACACCTCTGTCATTTCACACCAATGGTTTATTGGCAGTGATTTTAATACTATCACTTGTTTAAGTGAGCATAAAGGCAATACTCCTAATCATACTGATATGACTGCAGATTAATCACAAACCTCTACTAGTCACTTGCATGAAGGTTCTTTTCCTCGGTTAGGTTAATCTTTTGGTGATTCAACTCATATATGTTTTGCTTGCAGATTATCATGGTCACAATGGCATCAAGAATTGAAGGTTTATTTTCCCCTGATTCAATGCTGGATGGACAAATAACTAAATTAGGCATGCTCAATGGACAATTAGAATGTGATTTTAATTATGTAAAGATTAAATTATTAGATGTTATTAAGATTTTGGATTGTATATTTGTATGTATTTAGATATTATTCAATATATTGTACATTTTGGAATTTATTTTTGTTTCATGATCAATATTTTAGAATTGAAATAAATTTTAATTATTAAATATAATTGTAAATTGAAATATAGTAGTCTTTCAAAAAGCTTTACAATGTATTTAAACAGTTTTCTACACACAAACTTGAATTGTTAATAAACATTAGACAATTTAAACAAACAGTTGTATGAAATACAACAAATAAGGTTGTTTACATTTTAAAAATACAACACATAATAGCAGTTGTTTATGCAAACATACTTAGTTGTCTTCGGTGCAGTAGTCTGATTTATAATTTGACTAGTGTGTAAAATGATAGTTTGAATATTTCAAGGACAACTATAAAAAAACGCAGTGTTATTGAGCACCATACAACTGAAAGAAACGGTTGTTTAAAATATAGCAAAATTAGTAGTCCATATTCTAGAAATACAACAAAGATAACAGTTGTCTAATCCTATTTTTGTTTAGTAGTCTTCCGAGCAGCAGTCTGATATATCTTTCAATTACTTTTTAAAGTAGATGTCTATATTGTTGAACGACAACGCCAAAAATTAGGAGTCTGACGTTAAAAACAACAGTAGTGTTCATTATAGATAAACAACAAAAAATCACAGTTCTCTTTAACTCTAAAAAACAGATGTCTTACTCATACGGGGACAACACTAAAAAGTGGTACTCTAAAACATTACAAAACAGGTGTCGTCAACCATTTTACACAATTGTTTTAAATAATAGTCTGTAAATATATCAGACAGCTGCTCGGAAGACTACTGAAATCAGCACCGAGAGACTACTAAAAGAAACAGTTGTCAGCATCTGTTTTTGACGTAGTGGTAGTGTTTTGCACAGCAGAGACTTGAGCAATCTTTTGGATCATGCTCATCATGTTGTCGACCTTAGCAGCCATGGTCGACATTTGATCAACTTCGTACATGCCTCCAATTTTCGGTTGAGCGGATGGACGGTCAGAGTACCAGGTAGATCCGTTTGTTGAGATCCGCTCAATGAGTTCTTCAGCTTCGTCAAGTTCAAGGCCCATGAATGATCCGCTCGCCGAGGTATCCAACAATATCAGTGAGTTTTCATTTAGGCCTTCATAGAAAGCTGTCATTAGGTGCCAGCTTTGGATATTGTGATGTGGGCATTGCCTTTGAAGATCTTTGAATCTCTCCCAAGCCTCGTAAAGGGGCTCGTTTGGATTTTGCTTGAAATTTTGTATCATCCACCTGATTTTTGTTGTTTTGGAAGGCGGAAAGAATCGCTTGAAAAATTCTCTGTGAAGCTGGTCCCAAGTTGTGAAGTGATTGTCTGGCAATGAATCCAGCCAGCTTTGAGCTCTGCCCCTTAGAGAGAACGGGAACAGACGGAGTCTGATTGCATCAGTTGGCACACCATGGATCTTGAACGTGTTGCATGCTCGGAGGAATTTGGTGATATGGTTGTGTGGGTCCTCCGTTGGTCCTCCACCAAACTCATCAGATGAGACCATGTGGATGACAGCAGGTTTGATTTCAAAGTTGTTTGCTGTGACATCCGGTGGAATAATGATGTTATGTTCCGCCACAAGAGGAGTGACATAGTCAGAAAGAGTCCTCCTATTCGGAACTTCACTTTGTCTTCTTGGAATTTCCTGTACAGTTTCAAGAACATTGTTCCGTGGGACTTCCATTTTCTTTCTTTTTCTTATTTCTTTCAAATGTTTTTCAATTTCTAGAAAGAAAAGTTTTTCTTGATTAATCCCACGTGAACGCGTTAGCATAAAAAGAAAGGGATTGGGAAGGTTGGAGTGAGAAGAGGGAGAAGGGAAAAAGGGAATAGAAGGAAAGTAAAAGGGGGAAAAGGGGAAAAAAAGAAAAGAGAAGGGAAAGGGGGAAAGGAAAAGAAGAAAAAAAATGTAATGTGCAAAAATTAATAAAAAGGCTCTCACTTAAGTCAAGAGGTAAAAACCACCGAGACAAGTGATACCTTAGTTAGTAGTTAGCGGTTAGAGTGCCAAGTGGTAATAAACCAACGAGGACACTAAAAAAATAAAAAGAGTTAGTAATAATATATTGATATATAATACGTATAATATATATAATATATAATATTATATATATATATATATATATATATATATATATATATATATATATATAATATATAATATATATAATATATAATATATAGTATATAGATATAATGTCCAATAGCGGCTTTGCACGCCTAGAAAGAAAGAAAAAAATGCAGAAATGTAAAATGCAGTAATTAAATGTACAAACCCTGTGACGGCTTTGCGGATCAGCGGGCAAAATAAAGAAAGAAAGAAAAAATGTCCAATCACCGTTGCGGAAAATCCGACCTGTAGGATAGTTCAATATGTCCAAGTATGTCTAATATGTCCAAGTTAATATGTACAAGTCCAATAAGTGTTCAAGAGTAAAGGAACTCAAAGGAATTTTTTTTCACTTTTTTTTGTTTTGGTTAATTTTTTTGTTTGTTTGTTTTGTTTTAGTTTTTTTTTAGGTTTTTTTTTGTTTTTTTAGTACCTGCAGGAAGAGGTTAGGGAAAACAAAATAATAACAAATATTTACAACAAATAAACAATAAAACTTATGTTTAAAAAAACTCAAACCGTCTCCCCGGCAACGGTGCCAAGTTCGAAGTTGATTTGCAGTATAAAACGGGCAAAACTAACAACTAAAAAGAACCCTTGTAAGTAGGGTGTCGAACCTCAGGAAGACATGAGTTAATTTAATTTTAACAAAAGTTTACAAAAGAAGATGTAAATTATTTTTTGGTCTTTTTAGTTTTAGAGATAAAATAAAAAGTGTAAAAAGAGAGAGTTCCAAACAACACAAAGTTTTTGATGATAAATGTTGGAGTTGTGCCCTGATGGCCAACTGTTTATCATTATTCTATCATGTATAGGCAGATATAATATGTTTACACATCTCATGCTAATGTAAACAAATATTATATTCCTAGATTTATATTTAAAAGATGTTTATCAGATAGTGTTATTCTGTTGATGAGACTAACATCTTGAAATAAATATTTATCTAAATGTCCATAGTCGAGTATTAACGAGAGTGGGATATCGTTAATGCATGTGAGACTAGTGTGTGTTGGATGTTTGACTTAGTCTCATAGTCAATGACGGTGTGTTCGCATCCGCACATGGGCAGATATTATCTAGAGATAATAGGATTCCGGAATGACCCATCCTAAAGATGTTGCTTGAACTTTTAGTTCATACTCTAAGTATCTTTAGCGCGACCACGAGTGTAACTATCCTTCGACTTGAAGTATTACGTTTTCTGCATATGTGAACCCACATACTTTGATGCATTGTCCTAAGCCATATGAAATAGGGATGGTATACAGGCTTTGTGTTGGGTATGCCGTAACGCGTATTCAGAAACGTAGTGTAACACCCTAATTCGTCCAGGTCTGCAGCCCTTTTCGGACTAAAGTATTAACTTGGTAATCGTAACAATTTAAAACTTTTTCAAACACTTTTTATTTATCACAATAATATTTTTCATAACAGATACAGTACAGAGTATTCAAAAATATTGCGGAAGCGAATTTAATATTTACATATCATAAATCATTTCAAACTTGTCACATCCATCCCGACAATCTCGCCCCATCTGCCGCCAGGATCGCATTAATCTTTCTGTTTACCTGCGTGTAGCAAATAAAACACACTACACGCTCAGCGGTAAAGCTGAGTAAGCATATCTAATGCGTCGAACATCCATATAAATTGAATCTAAATTCATATTCAATTCATTTGATATCATGCACACGATGTTCATTTCAGACATTCACAGTTTTGATAATGTTCAGTTCATTTCAAACACATTTTATTCAATTCAGATATTATTTCGATAGTGCCCTTAAATTATTCTTAATCTAAGGCCAAATAATAACAATGATCTTAGCTATTCTTAGTCTAAGGCCAGATCATAACAATGCTCTTAAAAAGGCAATTAATTATCAGACACTTAAACTATCATTAGTTTAAGGCAATTGATTTCGGACACTTAACTGTAGTCAGTTAAGGCAATCAGACACTTAAACTATCACTAGTTTAAGGCAAATGATTCAGACACTTAACTGTAGTCAGTTAAGGCAACAACAACAATATAGCAATTGATCAACATTGGATCGGGCATTCCCAAACGAGTAATCCTCTAGCTTGGTCTACGAATCCCGTTTATAAGTTTTTATCTAATTCATCGAATATTCATGTTTCAAAAATCCATACTAATATGAGATCTATTATAGAGGTCTTCTAGATAGCCTTAACATCAATTCTCTAAATGTGTATATCTTAGAGTTCCTCTAGATACTTTTAACACTATAAATCATTTCATAATTATAATTGTATTCATTTTACTCATGATTCAATCATAAATACTTATTTTAATCAGTAGGTTCATTACTGATAATCATCCATAATATTCATTTATCATAATCGTCAATTAACATAACAATTGATAACAAATAGCGGCCTAGCTTCGAGTGTTAACACCTGAACTTACCGTCATGCAACACATAACATTTTTAGTTGTTAAAAACATCATTTTTATTGTGGTAAATCATTTTTATAATGATCCTAATCAATTGGTATCAAAAATAGGATTTTAGAGCTCTAAAAATAGCATTTTCAGACAAATTTTCGGATCAGGACTTCGGGGGATCGATCCAGCCCTCTGGATCGATCCATACTATGAAAAATCACTCCCAGGGGATCGATCCAAGCCCCTGGATCGATCCAGACATTGGTGTTTCAGCCACTGTTCATCTTCTTCTTCGTTCGGGTCCAATTTCAGAAATACCGTTTTTAGTTATCGAACTTCAACGAAACTATATAAAGATGTTCTCCAAGGTTCATAGATCATTTTGGCATCATTAATTCATAGTTTTAACATCAATTCCATGGTTTATGATTCTTGGTTCTTCAAGCATGTCAAACACAAAACTCAACCAAACGAGCGTTTATGAACGTAGAAACGATCTATACGAACATTCTAGTCATTAGATATATCTACGGGATTACCTCGAAGGTAAATGAAGGTTTTGAATATTTTCCGGCGAAACTTCCGGCGACGATTACTCCCAACTCCGGCGACCTCTCACCAAATTGACAGCACTACATCGTTCTCCTTACTTTGAGCAACAGAATAGAAGAAGGAAGTATATGTTTTGGTGAAGAATTGAGAATGCTTAGCTCCCTTTATATAGTGGATTTGAGGGAGAAGAATTGAATTCCGTTTGCACCGTTGTGATCGGGCAGTTAAACTCTATCTATTGATATAATTTTTATATTTATTTGTAATACTTTTTCCGACATCATATTTTTGGGTGTTTGACTCTGACAGAGTCAAAATTGATTTAGTTGATCTTTATTCAAAAAGGTTTCTCACATTTAATTCATATAATTTGTTCTAATGATTTATTTCAATAAATCATTTCAAAGTTCACATCATAATAATTTCTTCATATATTCTTGATTTGGGTCTGTACACAGGTTGCCAATCAAGATCACATAATTAGTCAATATTTTGGATTTATCTCTATGAGACTTATCCTGATTGTAATATTCAATATTCAAACATATTTCATTTTGGCCCAAAACCCAACAAACATTTATTCTTAATTAAAACAATTTTGATTAATTGATTATTTATTTATTAATAATTCTAGGGTATAGTTTGGGGCGTTACACGTAGATTAAGTACATAGCATTTGTCACTACTCTTTTAAAAGAGATTAATGTCTTATGGGGCCCACTGATAAGTTATGACTTAGGATATTGCATGGCCATGTTGAGATGTTTTTATGACGTCTGTTCCTATCAGTCAGACTTGATAAATCAGTGAATGACTTAATGGATACAAGCTAGATCAGATTTTATTAATCCCTTGCATTAAGTTTAGATATTGAGACAAAGGGATACAATTACACGGAGTCTGAGTCGTGGAAAGGTTTTGACAGTGCAAACGTCTTAACTTATAATCTGGGGGCAATAATGTGTTGCTAGATACCGCTTATTGCTTATAGTATTGGTACAGAGCCAATACTGTGGCCAGCTTTATAAGTGCCTATACGGGTCACACACTTTGAACAATTTAAGGAGTAGGATTAAACAATGGGATAATAAGTACTCCCTCCGTCCGGATTCGAAGTACCCATTTTGACTTTTGGTCATTTTTATTGGGTGTTGACTTTGGGATGGAAATGTCCACAATACCCTTCCCCCTGTTATCCAATCGCCCCAATGACCCAACCCACACCACCACCGTTAGCTCTACCCGCCGCACCACCACCGTCAGCTCCGCCCGCCGCACCACCACCGTCAGCTCCCTCCACCGCAGGAGCTTTCCGAGGAAGAATATCTGTGAGGAAGTTAGGCGAAAAAGGAGAAATAGATCAAGCGAGTCGGCGGCTGTATCGGTTCCTTTAGAAGAAGCAATCGGCGGCCAAGCAGTAGAGTAGAAGTCTGCGGATCCAGGTGCGTTTCCGGTACGCCAACTGCCGTCCCCGCCGGCAAATCCGTGCCCGCGACAATTCCGCTTCGGGAGGCGGCAGTGAAGACCCAAATCCGTGCAACCTAGGTGCAGATCTGGCTGGAAAGAGAAGTAGAAGCTAGAGTAAAGGTGCCAATCGAGAAAAAATAACGGAGAAGAAAGGAGAAGAAGAAAAGAAGGAGAAGATGGGGAATAGGAAAGAGAAGGAGAGAGAAGAAGAAGATTGAAGTGAGGGAGGACTTACAGAAGCAGATCGGGAAAATGAAATGGTAAAGAAAGGAGAAGAAGAAAAGGGGGGAGGGTGGGGGCCGGGAAAGAGAGAGAGGGGGGAGAAGAGGAAGAGTGAGTTTTGGATAATGAGAGGGTATTTTAGGAAGAGTGGGTATAAAAACGTAGAATGGGAACTTTATTTCCGGACGAAAAAAAGCACAGAGTGGGAACTTTAAATCCGGACGGAGGGAGTAATTTGTATATTTGTAAAATAGTAAAATAACGAGGAAGTCATTTTTTGGCTTTGGGGTGTGATGGAATAAACCAAAATGGATCTCTAAACTGTCTGCGCTTCTTTAATTAATGAGGTAGCAGTTAGTCAAGCAATGCAACTTTCAAAGTTGAGCCGGGGGTCTCTTTGGAAACAGCCTCTCTACTTTCGAGTAGGGGTAAGGTGTGCGTACACACACCCTCCCCAGACCCTACTCTTGTGGGATTTAACTCAGTTGTTGTTGTTGTTGTTGTAAAATAGTAAAATAATATATTTTGGAATATAATATTATATATATAAATATTCGGTTATATATATTATATATATGTACCGATTAATGTATATATATTATATGTTGAATATTTTATTTTGGTTTGTCATTTTAATTATGAAAATAATTATCTTGACATAAACTATTTAAAGTATTTTTGTATACTTGTTTAAAAATGATATGGGTATTTTTATTTGATTTAAAATTAATTTTTATATTAATTTTTGGTGTCAAATAAAATACACTTTGAACATTTAAGTGGAGAAGAATTTTGAAAATCCTTCTCACAATCACAAATCTTTTGTTCGGCCATATGGGATTGAAGAGGATCATTATTTCCTTTGATTGATTTTTGAGTGGGCTAATTGATTTGTCATTTAGCTAATGACAAAATCAATTACTAATCATGCTTTATTTAAAACCATACACACCATTAGCTAAGCATGGGTATTATTCGTCCATACCATTTAAGAGAGAGAAATATATTAGTTTTGTTCCATTAATATCATTTTGTGTGTAAGAAATATTATTAGAAATATTTTCTATAAGAAATATACAAGATTATTATTATCCCAATTTTAATCTTTATATTTTATACTAGTATAATCTTTACTAGCATAAAGATTGTGGTAGACTCCGGCGTTGTTCGTGTGTCAAAGTTGGAGACCGGACGCTTGAACGGTTACGTTTGCACTTTCAACGCTCTTCCTACGACTTCTTCGTTTTTACCGCTTACGGAGAAAGGTATAAATTTCTTACTCACTATAAGTTTTAGTACGTGATTCTTGGTAAGATAATCATGTTAGGATGATAAAAGTTTTATATTCCGCTGCCTATCCTTGCATGGTTACCTTTCAGTGGTATGAGAGCCAACGTACAAAACTATAGTTTTACGTTTGACTTTTAAAATTTTAAAAGTCAAAGTTTTAACTTGGTAATTATTAAACTTCAAAAATTGGTAAAATGATTTTATTTAGTCTTGGAATAAGTATTGGACTTAAATAAATCATTGAAAATGAATTTTAAATTTATTTATTTTATTTCTACCCGTAATATATATATAAATATATATTTTTTGAATTTTCGAAATATATATTTAAACATAATGTAGAAATAGTAAATATATTTTTATTTGGACATAAAACATCATTTTATGATTGATAAAATTATAGTGTAATTTTTGAATGTATTATTTCCTATTTTGAATTTATTGTATTTATTTAGGTAAAAACCGAAAATAAATATGGGAAAATTCAAAATGAACTTTATTAAGCTTAGAAATATTATTTCTAAGTTAAATAAGGTTGTTGATAAATATATTGTACAAAATAATATTAGTTAGTAATTAAATAAATATATATTTATATATGTACTCGGTTTTATTATCGAAATATTATATATATTTATATATTTGTATTTTAATTACATATATGACTCATATATATTTTGGAAAGTTATATTTCAGTAAGAAAAAGAATGTTTTTCAAAATATTAAATTTTTGTAATTTAATGTTTTCGAAAATAATTTAAATGGCTTTTTATAACTTATTGAGATTTAACTAATATATTTTGGAAATAATTATTTATAAATTTTGGAAATTTTATTTCCAGGTTTATAAATGTTGAAAATAATTACTGGAAGTTGAAATTTAATTTTCATGATTTTTGCAAAAATGTTTTGGAATTAAATTGCCTTTTCGAAAATAATTTTGCAAAAAGGGCATTTTGGTCATTTGGAATATTCTGAATTTTTTTATGCTGGCAGAACATCCAGAGTATATAAAATGATTTTATAAAATTTTATTAGATTTATTTGGACATCTAATTTAATTTTATGAGTTTTAGAAAATATTTACTGCCGTAGTATTTTTCTAGAACTGTCTGGGGTGAGCGCAGTTCACCCGGTGTATGTATATCTCTATTGCTTGTGTGGATGTATGATATGCATGGTGGATGATTGTGGCTATAGTTTATTTGATTATAATACGGCCTGCGTGTCGTGCCTTATCTTTTAAACTCTTGTTGTAAATCTATTTCTCTCTCTTACCTCAACCGAGGATTCTTTTCTCACGTGGTGGTTTGAAGACGAAAAGATTTGAAGACCGTTTGGAGAAATCTAAAAGAATGGAGATAGCCCGAAGTTCTAGTGCCCGGAAGCCAGTGGGAGCTATCGTTTTTTTTCTTTTAGGGGCCACAATCATTACACGTTTATTTATTGCGTTTTGTGAATGCATGTTGAATGTATGTTGAACGCTAGTAATGGACATGTGCGCGGCCATGTCGATAGGTGAGATCGAAATTATAAATCCCTCACGAATATTAAGTCTGTTGCCTTCTGACGCCCGGCACCTATCTGGCTAATGTGCACTGTCTTGTACTCAGCCTCAGCAGAGCATAGTACGGTGTATGTTAAGCTGGTTACGGGAACCGCCATAGCGTGGTCTCTGTCGCACGTTGGGTTAGACTTAACTGACTCTCGGTCAAATGGATGGATGACTCAGAGGCAGTAAGTTGGGGTCATCAATGACAAGTCGGATGATTTTACTCACTCATCCAGCCAGGAGTTGGATCTTTATGATTTAATTGGAACTCTGTTCCTAACCAAAGTAGTATGCTTGTAAGACGTGCCTCAGCCAATTACAAGTATGGTGAAAAGGTGTCCTGGTCCGATTGTAGTAATATTGTTCGCCCAACACCAGACCAAGAGCTGAGAGCCCGGCTCATCAGTTGAAACTATGTTCCTACCTAAATAGTTGTCTTGTGGAGTAACGCCCAAGCGGAACGCAAGATAATGAAATATGGATCTTGGCCCTCTAGAGGTTTCGCCGGAAATCTCCGAATCAATATCGAGGGTTATTGATTTGTTAAGAATAGTGGGAGATAATTAATTAAAGGCCTAATTAATTATTAAACATGATAGATAACCTATTTTGCAAAATTTTCTGTAGATGGCAAACAACAACAACCCTTTCAACCTGCGATATGTTCTAGAAAAGGATAAATTATCTGGAACTAACTTTCTTGATTGGGAGATGAATCTTTAGATTGTTCTCGAATGCGAGAAAAAGCTTTACGTCCTAACATCTGAGCCTCCCAAATCTCCTGAAGCGAACGCCCGTGCTACAGAAATTACTTCGTACCGGAAGTATGAAGATGACGCACGTGATGTGAGATGTCTCATGCTAGCCACCATGACCCCGGAGTTCCAAAGGCTCCACAAGGACATGGAAGCTCATCCTATGATGACTCGCTTGAAAGGTCTATACTAAGGCCATGCTAGACATGAACGTTTCAAAATCTCTACGACTCTGTTTTCCAGTAAGCTGGCAATGGGTAACCCAGTTGGTCCCCACGTTCTCAAGATGATCGGTCAGATCGAAACTCTTGAAAAACTGGACGCCCCGTTGCACCCTATGCTGGCAACTGATCTCATCTTGGGATCATTACCAGCTGAGTATAGTCAAACTGTAGTGAACTTCTACATGAACAAACTAGAGATGACTATGCCTGAGCTACTGAAATTCCTCACAACTGCTGAGGAGAGTCTAGGGAAGGGCAAGGGTAAGTCTGTCCTGATGGTAGAGGGTAGTACTGTTGCGAAGAAGAGTGGGCCACGTTCGCCGGCCGGGACCAAGCGCAAGAGTTCTAAGAAACCCAAGCCAGCGTCCAACTCCTCTTCGTTGAAACCCAAAGAAGGAGCTAAGAAGAAGTCTGCTGTATGCTATTATTGTGGCAAAAAGGG